TTGTGACATTTTAATTGAATAAATTATTGAGGAGAGATTCTGGCTCTAAAAGAAAGCCAAGGGTCGTTAACTTAAAACGACTCTAGCGTCTGCAGCGTGCAGGGAAGAGTTTCGCCATTCGAGGAACTTGGCCGAGAAAAGGGCAAAATAATTATGTTAATTTTATTTTTTTTATTTAAAAATATTAATTTTGTTAATTTTAAAGTAATGATGTTAGTTTTAAATTTTTTTAATGGTATTAATTTTTAATTTTTATTTAAAAATTAATTAGATGATAATAATAATATAATAAAAAAATTTAATTAAAATATTAAAAGTTAATATTTTTAATAAAAAAATTAAAAATTGAAATATTTATTTAAAAATTAATAAAATTAATATTTTTAAATAAAAAAAATACAAATTTCACGTGTTTATTTACGTCATTTCTCGATCTGTGCTGAGTCTGTTGGGACTTAATGGAACAAAATCATTAATAAAGTGCGTGAAACGTCGTCGGTCACAATTCCTTTCTTTGCATTTTTTTTCTTATCTTTAAAGAGAATATCTTTGTGTGTCCTTGTAGCATTGGATATTTGGATAAAAGGGATGCTTATTTAATAAATTTTATTTTATAATCTAAATTATAAAATTTAAAATTTATTAATATAAATTTTTTTAATTTTAAATTATATAATAAAAATAATCTTTTTATATTTTTTAATTTACTCTATTCATATATTATATAATTTAATTTAAAATACTAAAATATTTAAGTCATTTCACGTAAAAAAAAAAATTAAAAAGTAAAAAGGTGTATATTTCAATCCAGACAACACAAAAATTTACATTTAGAATGAAATTTTATTAAAATATTTTTAGTAAAATTTTCCATCATGTTAATTTATTAAAAATATTATAATAATTTTAGTGGCCAAAATGCATTTTTATAGTTTTATTGTGCCCTACGAACTAAAAAACTCAAATGTTATTTATTACTCCTAAAAGCTTGCTCTATTCGGGTGGTTTATGAAGGAAGAAGTTGGTGAACTCTCTAATACACATTGGAAGTGAATTTAATATATATATATATATATTCGCATTGAAAGGAATAGTCAGGCAGCTGTTGCTGCTATCCTCTCCAGTCTTTCTTGTCCCTGCTTTTGTTTTCTATGTTATGTTTATATATTGGTTCTAAAAGATTTGAAGAAACAAAGATGACAATTAGTCGGAGCTGATTTTCAAATGCTTCTACTATATAATAAAAAATCATACATTAGCTTTTCTCCGGAGTCCAGAGGAAGAAGTTCTTGTTTCTCTCCTTCAAATACAACAAGGTTATAGTTTTTGCATTTACATTTCCCTCCAAACAAAGGCTTACCTAATACACTCATGAATCAAATAAAAGTTAGACAAACTCAAAACCCAGAAATATTAAGAGGAAATATGTGTACATATTCACACAACAACAATTAACAAAAATTTACCCTATGTCAGAAAGCCCAAAAAGTTGTAGCTGAATTTACATAATCTTCATGAAATTAACAAGAAACCTTAAACCTAAACTAAATTCACACAACCAAAACCCAAAAAACACTTCACATTCCATAAACAAAAACATAATGTTTATTCCCCTTTCTTGATCATCTGGATGTCATCTTTCTCCCTTCAGTCCACCTCTTCCATTTTGCTTTCCTCATTACCTTCTTCCTCTAAAGCAGGCATATCAACATCCTCACCCACAGTCTCATCTTCCTCAATGCTCAAACCCAGTTTTAGCATCCTATGGATCCTTGCTGCAAAGGTGTTGGGATCATCCAGGCTGAACCCAGAAGTCAAGAGAGCAGTCTCATAGAGCAGCAGCACCAGGTCCTTCACTGACTTGTCATTCTTGTCTGCTTCAGCCCTCTTCCTGAGTTCCTCCATTATGCCATTGTCAGGGTTAATTTCCATAGTCTTCTTGCTTGACATGTATGCGCTCATGCTATTGTCTCTAAGGGCCTGGGCTTTCATGATTCTCTCCATGTTAGCTGTCCATCCATACTCTCCAGTGACCAAGCAGCAAGGAGAGTCCACAATTCTGTCAGACACAACCACCTTCTCAACCTTGTCACCAAGAATCTCCTTCATTGTCTTGCACAGATTCTCAAATGACTTCTTCTTCTCTTCCTTTCTCTTCTTCTCTTCCTCTGAATCTTCTTCAAGTTTAAGCCCTTCTTTAGTTGCAGAGACCAGCTTCTTGCCATCGTACTCCTTCAATTGCCCAACAGCATACTCATCAATGGCATCAGTCATGAAAAGCACCTCATAACCCTTTCTTTTTAGCCTCTCAAGGAATGGTGAGTTCTCAACAGCTTTCTTGCTTTCACCAGTGATGTAGTAAATATCTTTCTGGCCTTCCTTCATCCTGGTGACATAGTCCTTCAAGCTGGTCATCTCATCCCCACTCTTGGTAGAGTAGTACCTAAGCAAGTCAGCAAGCTTAGCCCTGTTCTGACTATCCTCATGAATGCCCAACTTGATGTTCTTAGAGAAGGCTTCATAGAACTTGGCATAGTCTTCTTTATTTTCAGCAATCTCAAAGAACATCTCGATGCATTTCTTCACCAGGTTCTTCCTGATCACCTTCAGAATCTTATTCTGTTGCAGCGTCTCTCGTGAAATGTTTAGTGGCAAATCATCTGAGTCCACAACACCCTTCACATATCCCAAATACTCTGGAATCAGTTCTTCACAGTTGTCCATGATAAAAACCCTCCTCACATAGAGCTTAATGTTGTTCATCTTCTTCCTAGTGTCAAAGAGGTCAAAAGGAGCTCTCTTAGGTACAAAGAGGATGGCCTTAAACTCAAGCTGCCCCTCTACAGAAAAGTGCTTCACAGCAAGGTGGTCCTCCCAGTCATTTGAAAGACTCTTATAGAAAGAGGCATATTCCTCCTTAGTGATCTCCTCAGGCTTTCTCAACCAAATAGGTTTTTGTTTGTTGATTTGTTGCCACTCCTGGGTCACCTCCTTAACCTTCTTCTTCTTGGACTTCTCTTTGTCTTCATCCACGTCCTCCACATCTCCTTCCTTTTCCTTCTTGGTGTCCTCATCTTCATCATCACTGATCTCCTTCTCGGTAGTCTTCTCAATCCATAGGTAGATAGGATAGCTGATGAACTCAGAGTGCTTCTTCACAAGGTCCTTCAATCTCCTCTCCTCCAAGTACTCCAACTGCAACACATTAAGAAAGAATAGAATGAATACCAGGTTGAATTCATAAACTATCAGACTATGACAAGACGATTATAAAATTCAAGTAAAGAAGTAGCCAATGTATATTTGGTTACACACCTGGTCTTCCTTAAGGAAGAGGGTGATCTTGGTTCCTCTACCCAGAGGCTCACCAGTCACATCCCTGGTGACTGTGAAAGACCCACCAGCCTGGGACTCCCATACATACTGCTCATCATCGTTGTGTTTTGTTGTCACAATCACTTTCTCTGCCACGAGGTAAGCTGAGTAAAAACCAACTCCAAATTGACCAATCATGCTCACATCGGCACCCGCCTGCAATGCTTCCATGAATTCCTTTGTTCCCGATCTTGCAATTGTCCCCAAATTATTCACCAGATCTAAACAGTAACATTATCATTAGTATCCAACCATCCATCTATCCATTCAAACATTCAACCGAACTTTTAAGTGTAGATTCACTTACCTGCTTTAGTCATGCCGATGCCACTATCAATAATTGAAAGGGTTTTGCTAGCTTTGTCAGGGACAATCCTGATGAAAAGCTCCGGCTGAGCCTCAAGCTTGCTCTTATCGGTTAAACTCTCAAATCGGATTTTGTCCAGAGCCTACACAGGAATTCAATCATCAAATCCTGAACTAAATCTTATTATTCGTCTGGATAAGAAAAAATGACAGAAATGTGACCAAATATTCAGTTACCTAAATTATAATATCCTATAGTGTCCCTAATCGACTCCAAAATAAACAAAATGCAATTCGTTTTTCAAAATTTCCTTTCCTCATTCCAAATACACCAAAAACAGTAGCTCATATTTTCCTCCCTTCTAATTTCTCGACAACCAAACAACCACCGTCTATGTAAATGTAAGCATGTGTATATAAACATCCACATTTTAATCAGACTGTAAGTAAAGGTTTTCAAATAAATCAAACACAGTAGCTCAAATTTTTCTCTCCTCCAGTTTCTCAACAACCAAACAACCGCTATGATCTATTCTGCATACATACAGAATATGCCAAATATCTACGTTATATCTAATGGTACTTACATCAGAGGCATTGCTGATGAGTTCACGAAGAAAAATCTCTTTGTTGCTGTAGAAAGTGTTGATGATCAAGCTGAGAAGCTGGTTAATCTCCGCCTGGAAGGCAAACGTCTCCGTCTCCTCCGCCATTGATTCCGATTACCTCCTTCTCCACAAATCAAACGAACGATCGAATCACCCGACGATTGAGAACACACAGTACGAGCGAGATGTAATTCCGAATTGGGGAGATGAAGGGCCTGCGAAGATATAAAGAAAGAATGAGGACACTTTCTGGTGCCTTCTAGTATGCAACTGATATCCCAACTGGAAAAGGCGCGGAGAGTCTAGAACCAATTCTTTTTTCCGCTTTTGCCCCTAGTCCAAAAGGAGGATTACCTTGCAGGATCTGTAGGGTCTTGAATCAGTTTTAAGCCCACAGAAAAATTTGGGCCATTTAAGGCTTAGTTCCAGCGGGCTCCAAGCTAACATTTTCACTGTTGGGCTCAAGTCCAAATACTTCACCCTTGCTCCCAAGCCCGTGCAAGTCTCAAATATAATTTTATATATACATATCCCTGCTGCTATG